CCCTGCGCGCACGCGGAGACCCCTCCCCCCGCCCTGATACCCGGGGCCCGCAAGCACGCCAGGGCCGGACAGCGGGCCCGAAACTCCCTGTGACTGTCATTCTGAGAAGTTTAATTCGGGGCTTTGAACCAGACTGACCTTCACTTGGGTTTAACAAGTCAGTAAAGCAGGCGTTCTTACTCCCATTCCCGGTATGAGACTGATGCTCAGACGCGACACGAAAGTTATCCTGCCCTAGGGTTGCGGATGTAGCAAAGCATGGATGTTCCATGCTGTATCTGCAGTTACACTAACACATATCCCCCCCACACACACACACACACACAAATACAAAAAATAATGTTTACCAGGATCTCACAAGCATTGTGTGTGCCATGTTTTATTGGGAGACTTACTGAGATAAAGTCATTGACAAATTAAACTTAAGATGAAAGAACTTTCACAGAAATAATTTTTAAGTAGCAAGAAGTTTCTAAAAAGGCAAATTTTTACAAATGTGGAGAAAGTGCTAAGAGAAGTTAACAAATGTTCAAATGAAACATTTCCTCCAAGGTTTGACACAGGAATAGAAGTTTTGGATATTCTGAGTCCTTTACAATCTCGTATGAACTATAGAATCAACTTGTCAATTTCTGGGGGAAAAGGAGGAGTTGGGATGTTGATGGGGACTGTGTTCATTTTGTTTATCAATTTTGGGGTCTAGGGTGTTTTATAAAAGGAAACTTCTCCAGTTCATTGTCCCCAGTAATACATACCTGGGGCCCTCACCTCCTTGCATCCCCGGACCCAGCAGAGGCTACTGGGACATTAGAGACCCTCTGAGAGAAAGGCATTGTGTTCTAACTTTTTGCACTTTGTTTAATAATTTTATATTTATAAAGCACTTTACAAATACGAAGGATGGTGTAGAAGCCAAGTCTTGGCTTAATCATTTGATGACTAGTTACCTCATAAGAAAATCACTTCAATTAATTCTACATGACATAAATAAAAAGTAAAGTAATCCTTGTTTGGATATGAGTTTAGCATATGCTTCTAGCCTCAAAGCTCACTGTAAACCAAAACTCACTGTAACTTTTAAGACGTCAAGACAGACTAGGTGGGTGGTCTGCCCAAGATTGGGAATTATCACATACTACAAATACAGGACTTCACCACCCAATCTGCTTCCTTTATCATTATATACTAAGCAATATGTCACTTGAATCATTCCTTTCAGCTTTGATTTGGGATTGAATTGCAATTAGGAATACCCTGCCACCTGTAGAGGGCAGTCACAGCGCACCCAGACGCTCAAAACCAGCACCTCTTCCTGGAACAGAGCCCGAAAGATCTGTGGATAAACTGCAGGTCCACAACACCAGTAATCCTTTGGCTTCAATTGGGGTAAGTTTGCAGGGACAGCCCCGCAGACGGAGAGACGGCCCAGCACCAGCCACAGGAGGAGAACAGAGTGGACCCCAGGCTGGTGTTGTTCAAATCAGGCTACAGGACTCATTTGGAGCCTTTGTTGTCAAAACATGCCCAGACTTTCCCGAGACCACCAAGACTGCCTCCAGAAACACTCCTTCAGACCATCCATGTGGACGCAATTCCTGCCCCCGCCCAGGGCTGAGGAATATAATGCCAGCATTCACCAAACTGTGGAAGATGAAGGAGGCACCAGGGCCGTGAACAATGTCAAGGTAAGACCATCCCCACAGTCCGTGACCTTTCTTGACAAGGAGTAGGTTTATCCAGAAAGAGTATAAAGCAATAAGCTTTAGTGCCAGTGCTCACTTTGTCTTATGGAAGATTTGTCGGAAGTGCTCTCTAACTAAACCCAACAGGAAAACTAGAACACTGGTCGTCGTCATCTGATCCGTCCAGTCCTCTCCGACCTAAACGGCTTCCCTTTACCAACACAAACGACTGTATTTGTGTGTTTGTTTCAGGAGGTCATGTTTTAAAAAGCAGTAAAAGCTGGACACAGACTTTTGTGGCTATTGATAACTAACCCTTAAATATCTTCCTCTGATAGGAACGTTTTATCTCATATAGTAATGAAAAATTACAGATTGCTTTCTATCAAAATTGCTTGAGAAAACAAAATTGATAAACTAACACATGCACATAAAAACATGAAGGAGCGACAGGGTATTTTTCGTAAATTCGTAGTTTTCTAAGTAAATTTCTCCCGCTCGATGACGTTATTTCCCCAAAGAGTAACCATTTTCCTGCTCGGTGCTGCTGTGCAGAGCTTTGCAGCACGTACGGTTTAAGTCTGTAGATCCTCTTAACTATTAATAGAACCATCGCTTAAAAGGTGAGTTGGTGCAGCGGCAGATGGGCATGTGTTAATGCCTGACAAATAATGCTCAGAGCTCAGGATTAAACGTGGCAAAATCCTACAAGAGCAAACCTGGCCAAACGCTGTAACGCTGGACAACATATCCGTCCCCACAACGTGCCTCACTTCCTCATCATAGTCACCCTTTCTTTGCAGACTCTTTATAATTACCTGGATCTGCTCTTTCCCCGATGTTATTTTAAGCAACTGGCACAGGGAGAAGAAAATGTGGGGTTTTTAAAGTTATTAGGAAGCTTTTCCTGTTGAAAGGTACCGACCTTTACTTTTGAGTGCTCAGACAAATAATATGCGAACAAGTAACACACGAATGTTCAGCCCCCGTTATCACGTAAGCACTAGGTCTTTAGGAAATGACAATGAAATGGGGTATAATGGCCAGAAGTCCTTAATTAATGGGTGTCTAAATGAAGGCAATGCACACAAAAGAGACTGCTAGAAGGGGGGATATGGAGACTGCATCTGATGAAACAGACAGCAGTGACAGAGCACACGTGGTGTGTGTACAGATATATTATGTGTCACATGTATGGTGCATGTGGAATATATATAATATGTGCATACACACATATAATTTCAAGGTTCAGGCTAGCTTGAAGGGTGTGCGTTAAGCAGAGTCATAGACGAATGCCTTGAGACATTACATACTGAGAGGAGAAAAATGAATTCCAAGGCCCCAAAGTGTAGCTACAAAGACAACGAAGCTTTGTGCAGCGGGCCCGAAGGTGGAGGAAAGAAGACAGGAAAAGCGTCTTAGAAAGGAATTACGCACAAACCACTGTCAGAGATGCTAAAATTGATGGCTCTGGCTGGCTCCATGTGTGTCACCAGCCACCCTAGGCTCAGGGCACGCAGTCAGAAGTCCCTGACTCCTTGGTGTCCTGCACTCTCAAACACTTCTTGATTTCCGGGTGCTGGGTGTTGCCACGGGGCCCTAATCATACAAGAGCCACATGGGGCTTCTCTGCAGCCGGGGGCAGCGTCCCTGCCTGGAGGGTCTGCCTACAGAGCCCGGAGCCTTCGGCTGCTACTGTTGGCTTTGTTGTAGGTTGACGCTCACCAAACCACGGGGCACACTTCACGCAGGAAACAGAACACGCGTCTTAATAATCCGTACCTGTGCCGTATTCACTGTAATACTCCAGCAGGTGGTGTATTTCTGAAATTGGTGA